GCGTGGAAGCATGCTGTGCTTCGAAAGAAGAGTCCCGAAATGATCAAAACTTTTCTTTGTTTCCTCGAATGAAAAGAGACATGAAAGGAAAGCGTTTTGCTGATGTTGCTGAGGTGAAGGAAAAAACGACGGAGGCGCTGTAAATAATCCCAAAAGATGAATTTAGACAATGTTTTGAAAAATGGAATAAAAGACTAGACAAGTGTATTAGTGTAAGTGGGGAGTACTTTGAAGGGGATTGAAGGTTTGTGCTTAAAATTTGAATAAATAAGTTTAAAAAAAATAAGTTCGGTTTCTTTTGGGTACCCCCTCATAGTTAGGGGCCGTCAACAAAACAGTCTATTATAAATCGATTTTAACATTTTGATAATGCAGTAACGAGATATATATTCATAAAAAATTGATGGATGATCTTTGTAGATCGAAACACGTAGCGGGATGAAAATAAAATAACTCGAATTGTAACATTTTAATATCGATTTATAATCGATTGTGTTGACGATCCCTATTTTTTTTTTTTTTTATTAGTGGGGTGGGACTAAGTCTCTTGTACTGCGGCCACTTGTGGCCTATTGTACCAACCCCAGATGATAGGTGATGGTGATTGTGGAGCAATTGGTGGACTGAAGATCGGCAGGGGAAACCGAAGTACTCGGAGAAACCCTGTCCCAGCGCCACTTTGTCCACCACAAATCCCACTTGACGATCCGTAACTATACCTTTCATATGTGATACACAACAGCATGCCAAAAGTAAAGACGCTATCCCGTAAAGGCCGTGGATGCCCATAGGATCGTGAGACGTCAAGGCTCCCAAATTTTCTAGACAGTCGGCTCACAGATGGCGGTGAGATTGTCAGCCTTACACGTCGGCCGGCCTTTACTCCCCAGGAAGATTCCTGATAGAGGTTGAGTCGACCCCAGGGCCATAGTGAGGCCGGAATGATTAGGTCGATTGAAGAATCCGATGACCTCATCGGGAATCGAACCCTCCGTCGTCCGGCGTGTAGCATAGTGCTTCAACCAACTACGCTACCGCGTGGCCCCGCAGAAAATAAAGGATGTTTAATCATGCTGCCATTCGAGACTGTACAGTCTGGTTAACTGACAGAGTTGTAAATTAACTCACAAAAAATCAAGTTTGAAAAGATTTTTTCCAGGTTTGCGAGAGCCGTAATATCTGTGAGTTGTAACGAGGCGTTCTTGCTGGCGTATCGCAAAACTGGACGCATCAGTCGACAGGAAAACAAGACGTCAAGATATGCCGTGTTCCGCGAAACCACAAGACGTCAAGGAAAGTGCATGCAATGCGAATGATAAAGACATTCCACTTCATGTTGTCTGTTTACTGAAGTAAGATATCTGGGCTTATTTTACAGAATGCAAGATAGGTTGAACCTGAGAGGAATTTCCCTAGAACTTCCAAGAGATCTGTGATAGAGGAGTAGTTCCAATCCTGTATTTGTAATCAAAGTCACTGGACGCGATTCGTGGCCAACAAGTTAGCTCAGGCGGTAACGTAGTGTCACTTGCACTCGGTTCGTATCTTGCTTGGGACAACAGCTGCCCTGAATGTGGTTTGTCGTGCTTTCGTTTATCTTGCAGGTGCAAATGTTAGGATAGTAATTCAGATTAGGCCACAACCTCTTCCGTCCATATCATTTTAGATCATTAATCATCCTAACATTGAATGCTGTACGGTCCGAGTTGCCGAGAGCGTTCGTCATCCAGCTGAAGCCAGTCTTGGATTTTTCGTGGGTGGTTTCAGTCTCTCCACCTGCCCTCAGCACAGTCTGAAAGTCCTCTTGCTCCTAGATGCCTCGTGTGTAGATGCCTCTGACATTAAGGGAGGATTATGTTTCGACCTAAGAGGGAGGAAGTGGTAGGACGTTGGAGAAAAATGCATAATGAGGACCTCCATAACTTGCACTCTACGCCAAATATTATTAGAGTGATTAGTCGAGGAGAGTGACATGTACAGGGCACGTAGCACGCAAGGGAGAGACGAGAAATGCGTACTGAGTTTTTGCAAGAAAGCCTGAATGAAGGAGACCACTTGGATGACATAGATGCAGAGAGGGTGATAATATTAAAATTGATCATAAATAAATAGGGTGAGCTGTGGATTTAATTCGTCTGGCTTAATATAAGAATCAGTGGCGGACACTTGTGAACACGATGACACAATTTTCAGATTCACAAAATGCTGCGATTATTTGACTAGCCGAACAACGGTTAGCTTTTCAGTAAGGACTCTGCTCCATTCAGTTGTTATGCTTTCGTTGAACAAAATAGAGTAAACCCTCGCTAGTTCTCAGTAACCGGGGGGGGGGGAGGTCATCCGAATTAACCGATAATTCGGAATAATTAAGCAAAAGGTGGCCTTAAAAGGCAAAGAAAAACTTAGGACACGCATAAATGGAACACTTAATCACATAAGTAGTGTTGATGAAAAAAAAACGCTCTACAGCCTTTATTTAAAAACTATAAAATGAAAGTACATTTATTCATCGGTAGAAGACTCAGAAGCTGTACCTGTTGCTGAATGTAATAATGCAGGTTTGAAGATACTATCAGGTTTTGTCAGAACAGGCAAAACACTCGTCGGCCTTTCTAAATGCCATGTGTCTTTCTCCTGGGTTTAAAGTAAGTACATACTCAACTGTGAACAGCATAATTCATATTTCGATCCAGATTAACTGTAACCGGATTAGCGAAGGTTTACTGTACTCAGAAATAACGCATATTATAGAGGTGTCAGAAATTACTCCTATGAATTTTTGTATTGAACGATCCAGGCCGTAGAATCTAGGATGAATTTCATGGTCTCTCTATATGTGAAACTGAAATCGCAGGTCAGTTCAGAGACCTGAGGCGCTCGGGACAGAGACCGTCGTGTTTCCGAGAAATATGGATGTCATTAAGCACAGAAATGTGGCCTGCAAACAAGCTTTTCGTCCACCCTTCTTTTGCCCAACACCTGAAAATATTCCGTCGTCTGTTGCTCGGCAATACACCCGACACACATGTAGTGCGTGTAGTCTAAACTCACTTTTAAAGGGTTTGATGTTCTCATTGCTGTGGTTAAGAAGAATTCTATCTTCTTGCCACCCGCTTTCATGCTGGTTACTTGCTTCGATTATTCTTCGACCCTGAACATGGAGGTGACATGTTCCTCCGAAAGATCCGTTAGGGTTATATCCCAGGTGATAGAACTCTTCATTCTTGAAAGGTTTTGCTGTTAATGGTATGAGGAGGAGCGCCCCATTTTTCACGTTTCTAGATCTGGCCGCTCTCAACAGAATTGGTCGAGTCCACTAACTCAGATAAGGATTTTAGAGTGTGTGTGGATTATAACAGCGGCTTAGTTACGGTGCGTCACCCTTCCTCCCTCCCACAATTCTGCTGGTAGCGATACGTGTATCAGATCATGCCCAATTCAGAGGCCATGCAGAGAACACAGCATGTAATTTTCTGTCACGTTTTAATTGTGTTTACAACCGGCAGTGTGTAACGTGTTCATTTGCTGTTACACATTTTGTAAAGTACGATACATTGTGACGAATCCGGATAGTTGAGTGCAGTGACTGGGCTACAGGCTGTACCACTAGGGAATCGGGGTTCGATTCCCGGCAGGGGCAAAAATTATTTCTCTTCCCATCTTCAAGACCGGCTCTGGGGCCCACCCAGTCCCCTGTTCAGTGGGCTGGGTGCCCTGTCTCTAGGGAGTATAGTGCGGTTGTGGCATGGACTTAAGCATGCCCCTCCTACTAGTACCCAGGTTAAGAATTCGTGGACCTATATGTCCACTCCCCCATACGTCTTCATGGCGTGGTGCTTAATTAGGCATAGAGACAACATTATCATTTTATGTATGTTAGTAGTGCTCTCTGTACCAAATGACAACATTGATTGGATTACAGGCTCTCTATGTCCATCATACGCACATCATTTAACATCTCTTTATCATTTCTAACAGCTGTCTGAAGGTGCCTAGTAAAACTAAGAGAAACTTGAAGAGTATTGTCACCTGAGTTGTAACCCCTCATGGTTCTGAGAGAACTTGACTCGGCCTCTAACAGAAATGGGTACCAGGAATCTTCTGGGGGGTAAAGGGTGGCCAGCGCGTAAGGCTGACAACCTCACCACCATCTGTGAACCAATTGTCTAGAAAATGTGGGACCCTCAGTGTTTCATAATCCTATGGGGCCTCCAGGCCATTACCTTTTTACTATTTGTTCATAAACAAGACTTGTCCATGAGGTCGTCTACACGAGGTATGACGTACTGTGATTCAGTTACCTAGTAAATATTGTTTCGTCATTCATTGAATGGAAGTTGTGTGATAGTAATTGAAATAGCGGGAGGCTGTATATGTTGAACTGATAGGATAGAGCAGGACTCATTTGTGGTGTCTTGGCAGATTGAGAACTCGGATGTGGACCAATTGGTACCACTTTGCTCTGTAATTTTATTAATGCTGTGTTTTGTTTCCTTACAGTGCGGTTGGTAAGACGTGTCTACTGATCAGCTACACCACAAATGCCTTCCCTGGGGAATACATCCCTACAGTGTGAGTGCACATTTGTCACTGTGTAAGGTTTGGGTTCTCACATCAGTGACTTGTCACTGTTTCTGTCACCTGGCATGTGATGTCGTGTAGCTCATTAGATAGTTACTGACATTTCATAGGAACAAACTGCCTCATCCTCATGCTGAAGATATATATCCCCAGAAGTCTGTAAACGTCTACCAGACTACACATTGTCACATACAAGAAGACAGTAACATTAGTAACTTATCAGTATCATCATTCTGTTAACACTTTCATGCCACCTGTCAGAAAGAACCCATGTGGACATATGGTATACAGCAATGGGGCTGTAGAAAACCATCAAACACAAAAATAATTCAGAGACCTCAATCCAAATTCTTGCACTCAGTAACTCGAGCACCTCGGTATGTCTCCAACTTTACTATCCACAGCGATCTGCAAATCCCGTTCTTCGTGGAAGAAATACATAGTTTGTCAACTCTCTACCATCAAAGCATACTCGGACACAATAACAGACCAGATGTAGAAATTAGCAACCCACCAAATGCAAGAAGAAAATTGAGGAGACAGTGGCCATCTGACCTACCCCAACCCGCAGATGACAAAGATTAAAACCATCATCATTCCTCTACAGGGCCTGTCAGAGTATCATCAGTGGATGAATTTTCTACTCAAGACATGTACTTGGAACAAATTTACTTATTACTTCACATTATCAAGAGTAGATTGTAAATATGCTATTAATGAAATAAAAAGATCTGGCAGAAGCGAAGAATTCTGACATCATTTTCACTTACAGGTCAACCATCTCCCTCCAAGTTTATGAATTTACTTCCAAATTATGATAGCATGCTGAATACATGTATGCTGATTATATTCTTTGGCAGTTCTTGTAGCAGTCCATTTGTAGGAATAGTATGTGGCAGGAGTTACAAATTTTCCCATAGCAAGGTCGTTTTTCCCACACACACATTAATTTGTAGCCGGTAGGAGTGAGGCTGCAAAGAGTCAAATGGGGATGGGCTCAATTGCAGCACATCAAAAACATGGCGCTGCGCATAAGACAGGAAGTGTATCTGGATAAGAATGTGAATAATTAAAAGTGTTATACATTCACCTACACAGTCAAGCAAAGGAAATTGTTAATCATCGGCAAAACAGCTCTTTTTTGAGCTGTAGGCTTCCTTGGATTTTGCAACAGTAATTTTTTTTTATAGAGTAAGGTCATTTGCCTGTCATCCAACCCTCAACCTGGAGGACAAGGTCTCTGTATTTATATCCCCCAGGAACAGGGTGGCCCAGTTATACCTCCAGGCACATGGTTACCTTTTTGTCGTCTTGTGTAACTCATAGGGCTACAGTGGAAGTATTTGAACCCACCTCCATACAGGGTGATATTATTAATATCTGTGTGTGTGTGTTTTCCCTCAGAACCACAGGCCCAGCCCTCCCTCTCCGTATATCCAGGTCACTTTTCCAAATTTCACTTACCACATCTACGCTGAAGATGGAAGCAGTAGGTTCCTTTGAAACAATGGTAATGCACCAGACTACATGGTGCCATATTTTACATATTAAGCTTTACTACATGGTGCCATATTTTACATATTAAGCTTTAATATGAGAAGACTAAGGTGGTAATCAGTGAAATTGCAGGTCTCATTCCCAGTGCCAACTTGTTATTTACAGTGTGCTTTGTAAATTCCAATATTTGTTTCAGATTCGATAATTACTCAGCTAATGTTATGGTAGATGGCAAACCAATCAACTTAGGATTGTGGGATACAGCAGGACAGGAAGACTATGACAGGTTGCGCCCACTATCCTACCCACAGACTGTGAGTACACTTACTGTGTATCTGCTAAGCATTTGCTGCTTATGTATTACCAGCAGTTCAGAAATGTATGAAAAAAATTTGAAATGAAGAAACCTTTTGGAACAATTGAACATAGGTGGGAGGGTAATCTTATAGTGAAGGCATGTCCAACTTCAAACAGGTTGTGATTGACTTTTTAGTGTCAAAACTGCCAGTGATCTACCACCCCTCGTATCATCATACCTCGCTTTAAGCAAAAATATTGGTAAAAATAGCAACGCATGATGTTTGTTGTAAAAGCAACATACATTGAAAGTACAGACTACTTTAACATGTATTTTCCCTTCAAAATCTGAATATAATCATATTATATTACAAGTGACTTTAGATGCTTTTCACGTATAATGTCCTTATAGGCCTCTGAGATCGACTCGTTGGACATGCCTGTTATAGTGGATCTTAAATCGGGCATTGTGGTATGGACAGGGTTCATCTGGCTCAGGATACAATCCAGTGATCAGTTTCCATAAGAGATCGGGAATTTCTTAATTAGCTGAGTGACTGTAAGCTTGGAGGAGACTGGGGCTCAAGTTTGTGAAGAGAAGTGTCTGGAGAAAAGAGAGAGAAACATTTTCATAATTCATTTGCTTGAAGCAGTATGCTACAAGCTGAAAGGTCATGGGTTCGTTTCCCAATGAGGTTGTTGGATTTTTCAGTTGACTTAATCCATCCAGCTGTACTGGGATTGACTCAGCCTCTAACAGAAATTAGTACCAGGAATCTTCTTGGGGGTAAAGTTTCAGCGAGCACATGAGGCTGACAACCCCATGGGCCTCCATGGCCTGTTACAGGGATAGCTTTACCTGTTACCTGGGAGTAGGTGATTTTATATTTTCAGACCGAACAAGTTTCTCTGTATTCTGTTCGTGTATTGAGATGCCCTTGGTTGAAATCTCAGCTAAGACTCCACCTATTCTGAGGGAGCTGTTTCACGCTGTCCGTCATTCTCTTCAGCCAACTACCACCTCAATAAAACTGGTTGCTTGCTTCCTGATCCTTTTGAATTCAGCCTGCATCAGTCTCAGCAGTTTACTGTCAGGACACAATCGTGTTAATAAACGGCATGCAAACTACACGTACATCTAATTGTCTGACATCAGGGTTGTAATCTGCTTGGTCATCCCTGCATACACATTTCAGTAATACTATTATGTGGCTGTCCTATCATCGACACATTAGAAAACTGCTGTCAAGGCAACACCAGCAGATTAAAATCAGCTAAAAAAGAACAACTGAAAAGGATGTCAGATTTGAAGCTTCCATTTAAATTGAATGCACCAAAATCTTCTCAGGTGATCTGTTGCCACAGTGAAGTTACTGACCAGTGTTTTGGAGGCCTGCCCCATATCCATAAATTGCTGATATATCTGCCATTTTAGGTCATTCTGCATGTTGACTTTGATGATGGAGAGAGATCTCCAAATCACTGGTTGTTAACTCAGCTTAGTCATGACTGAGTGTCCAAGAATATTTTCATGAAATGGCTGAATTTTTGCTCACCAGCTTGTGAAATAAGCTCTTCTTAGTGTTCAAATTGTTGCTGCTCCTACCACCTCTCCCTCTCCTCAACCCCAGGTTTGTAATTGGGAAACTGCCTCAAATGTCCACTGAATATGAGGCTCTGTGGGCCCCAGCGCCTGTCTGGACACGTGCTGGTACAGAGGACTCTTCCTAGCTGGGTATCATACCACGGTGAACTATTGAGCTATTTAATCTCCTCCACCTGTATGGAATTCTGTATGAACACCAGAGTTTCGCAGTGTTAACTCCATTTTAACTGCTTTGTTTTGTTTTCTTGCAGGATGTTTTCCTCATTTGCTTTTCACTAGTGAACCCAGCGTCATTTGAGAATGTAAGAGCAAAGGTAAGGGGTAAGTCCAGGGTGTGTTCTGCCAGGACATTCTGTTGGTATTACTAGTAGCAGGAAATTTAAAAATGTGAAGGTGGGATCACCTGGCCTAGCATGCAGTTTGCACCAAGTTTAATGAAAATTTGTCAGTCAGTTTTGAAGCTGTTAAGGTGGGACAGACATGGACACACAAACACAGTGACATTTTAAGCTTAACCTTTTTTTTTTTTAAGTCAAGTTGAGGTAAGAAGTTGTAATATGTTTTATGATGCTTGTACAAAGAAGATTTACAGATGAACAGCCTATTTCTATGTGAAACTAGCACTTCTGTTTCATTAAGATATGTTTCTGGTGCATTCATAATAAAAAATTGTGAGAAACAGGTATTACCTTTGCCTCTTCCATTTGCATGTAACAACTCAAGAGCTGCTAAATGAAGTTTTATGAAGTTTGGTATTTTACTGAGATCTGTCAACACATTACAAATTTGATTAAAATCAGACATCAGTAGTGGGCATTTTATATGCATTTCAAGCAGAAAATATCAAATGTGCCAGAATTGTTATGCTTTGTGTACATTTCATGGTGGTGGCTGTGAAGAAAGCCATCTTCTGGGATGTGGCACCACGTAGATACTGTCTTAACCGACGTTTTTGGAGATGTCAGCATGCTGGTTCCTTGCTCGTGGATTTTTTTCTTCTACCCTGAATATGGAGGCGGTACGCTCCTCCGAAATGTCACTTAACGCAATATCTACATGGCGCCACATCCCAGAAGACAGCTTTCTTCATTTCATAATTTGTTTTACACTGTGCACAGTGGTACCCTGAGGTGCGACATCACTGTCCAAGTACCCCCATCATCCTTGTTGGCACTAAGCTCGACTTGCGAGAAGACAAGGAAACGATTGAGAAGCTAAAGGATAAGAAGTTAGCCCCCATCACATATCCTCAGGTATGTACTTCTGGCTTCAGAAAGAATGCAGTGCACATTTCTGAAATTTCTGTGCCAAGTAAATTGGCTATGGTACATGAACTGAGTACCAATTGATGTGGCTGATCTTCTCAAGTTTTTGTATCAGTCACTTGCAGCTGCTGTTTCTTACCTCATCTCTCCTATTATCTGCCTTAACCATCTTTTATGGTACCTCATACTTAAGCAGCTAATCTAGAAGTCCTGTGTGTTCAACAAGACCTCCAGTATGGTCATTTTTGATACAGTCATATTTTAAAAATACAATCTAGTGATTTTTTAATGTTGACATAACCGTCTACATCATCAAACAAGTTTTATACACAGTATAATCCTTATTAGTTTGTAGAATTTGCTTGCTGCATGCTTCCTTGCTGATTTCTTTACTCCCAGGAAGATTCCTGGTATTCATTTCTGTTAGAGGCTGAGTCGACTGCAAGGACAGCAGGGTCAAAGTGTCCATGGAAGGATGTGGTCAATTGAAAAATCCAGTGACCTCATCAGGAATCAACCCGTGACCTTCCACTTTGTAGCGTATTGCCTCAACCAACTATAGTATTGTGTGCCTCTCATCATGACATAGTACTTAATTAAGCAGAGGAACAACTGAAGGGCTTTAGTGCATATTGTTGTGCTTTCTTTACGTCTGCCATCTGTCTGTGTCAGCCTACTGTCACTTCTTCCAGAAAATAACGAAGCAGATGTTGAATTGTGGAGGATGGCAGTGTGAAAGGTGTTATCCATGCTTTTGTCATGTGAGCTCACAGTAAAGTTACGGATAATTCTGCAGGCTAGTCATACCAAGAATTGGAACAGTGGCTTGCTCCCTGGACACATTAGGATGGACCTGTTGCTTGCCATGATATGTGACCCATTTTTTTTAGTCATTTGTGTACATAAGTGTCTCATCTGATTTGACAGTTTGTTTTGCAACTCAGGTTCACATATATTTCTTATTGTTTTTATGTCATTGATATTAGAGGCAGCAGTCAGCATTGAACCTGCTGTCCTTTTGATATTAAAATACGTATCGTAATGGTAACTGTGATAGTCTTTTGGTCAGAATACAGGCTTCTTGGTAGAAGAATTTTAGTCAGGCTCCTGCCACTATATTTATTCATATAGTGGTGATCAGTTATCTGGAGGAGAATAGAGCAGACTTCCAGAATACTGTATGTGTTGTTTCTTTTTTATATTATTGCTAGTGGGGCGGGACTAAGTCCCTTGTACTGCGGCCACTTCTGGCCTGTTGTACCAGCCCCAGAAGATAGGTGAGGGTGACTGTGGCGCAATTGGTGGAATGAAGATTTGCAGGGAAACCGAAGTACTCGGAGAAAATGTGCCCCAGCGCCACTTTGTCCACCACAAATCCCACTTGACCAGACCTGGGATCGAACCCGGGCCGCCGCGGTGGGAAGCCAGCAACTGACTGCTTGAGCTATGGCGCACTGTATGTGTTAACTTTCACTGTTGATTATGCACAGTGTTATGACAGCCAATGCATGCATGTAGTTCAGCTGGCCCATTATCACATTTTTGCAACACAGATAGCCCATTCTCCAAATTAAGAAAGAGGGCACTGGGGCCTGCGTTAGCAGGGGGTTTAAACCCCTCTATTTCCTTAGGATGTTGTGTCACATGGCAAAAACCATAATCTTAGCACTTCGTGAGGACCTCACACCTCAGAAATTTGATTTGAACTGAACTAAAGTGAAGTTGCCCCTGTGCTTAGTTAATTTGGCACTATGCTATAGCTCAGGTGGTTAGTTGCCAGCTTCCTATGTTCAGTTTCAGGCCAAATCATGTGGGGTTTGTGGTGTGTTTATGTGCAGGTTTTCTCTTGAGTACTTCTCTTTCCCCTACCAGTTCATTCCACCAGCTGTTTCACATTCATTAATTATTCTGTCATTGATTTTATATTCTCTCTGATTTATACTGACAGTGTCATTAAATAACAAACTTAAAGAAACAAACTGATAAAAAAATCATGCCATGAAGATATGGCGGAGTGGAGATAACCTCAGCATTATGTGGAGGTGAGTGCTCATCTTCATGTCCCTACCATATCACTTGAGGGAAAGAACCTCTGGTGCCCATTGGCAAGGAGACTGAGTAGATCCCAGGGCCAGTGTGGACACCAAGGAGAAGGGAAAATCTTTTGTCCCAACTCAGAATCATACCTGATTCTTGACTGTTCAGTTGATAGCCCATCACTGTACTGACTGAACTATCTAAGCTCTGATCTGGACATAAAACATGCCACGTTTCAAATTATGTTCTTTCACAGGGTCTAGCCATGGCGAAGGAGATTGGTGCTGTAAAGTACCTGGAGTGCAGTGCATTAACTCAGAAGGGTCTGAAGACGGTATTTGATGAAGCGATTCGGGCCGTCCTGTGCCCTGTTCTCCAAGTGAAACCAAAACGGAAATGCATCTTGCTGTAGACTGTAACAGATAATAATGAACGATTGTTTGAATTCCAAGCTGTGGTGACAGTGGAAGCCAGCCTTAATGCAGGCACAGTGCCATTGATGGGGCCATGTCGTGCAGTTGCAGAACCAACTTAATGTTTCCATTGGATTCTGTTCACCTCTTTCTTTATGAAGGGGTCTGCTGATCAACAGATTTTTACCTTAAATGTTCTTCCAGTGAAATTTATTTAATGATGTTCATGGAGACGAAGTTGCACGTCTCTTCTAACAGAAATAGAGCGTTGACTTTTAGAGTACTCCTTAACAGATGTAATGATTTTTCTGGTGTACTGCATTAAAGAGTGGCTTGTTTTTGTTAGGAGGTCTGTGCAAACAGCTGGAAATGTCCTCTGTCTTTCACAGATATTTTTCCACGTAATCTATCATTTTTGTAACTTTTTTTGTGAAGCCGTAATAACTTTTCTGGAGAAACAGATTCCCATCACTGTTGTAGCTTAATGGAGCTGTTTGTATTGTCACATGTGCATCATTATGGGTAGCAACAATTTATATAAATGGAAAATAAACCTTTGTTATTCTTATTCTCATGATTTTTATTTGAAATCTCTTGCTATGGAGATGACATGTTATGATCCAAGTGCAGTGTCATCTTCAGTTTAATTTTGCAAGAGCTGAAAGTTTGCTACTCTTCCCTTCTGTCTTCAGGTAACTAAGCGTGCAACATTCTGTAATGAAAATGTCATGGAATTTTATTCCATGCTTGTTCCTTGGTTTTACTCTATTCTCAGAATAGACAGTGGTTGTTTCCTTTGTAATTGAAGTTGAAACTGAGTTTTAAAATATTCTATTATGTGTTTTTTCCCTGTAAACAACGTTTGAAGTCAATATTTGTTGCACAAAATACAAAAGATGTTTGTGGCCAGGAAGTATGAAGAACAATATGATTTTACAGCAGCATGCAGAGTCATAAATACTGTGGTGCTTTGTATGGTAATTGTGGTTTAGAAAGGTTTGCCATGATAGAATGTGCTCGTTGGGGCAAGTCAAGCAGGATTCTCATCATGAGAACAAAAATGGTGTTTGTTTTTGCTTTCATTGTATCTGCCTTAGCTTATTCACTTTTTGTTCAGATGTGACACTCTCAGAAGGCTTTATTTTCAGTTGCAATGAGTGGCATTTCTTCAAGATTGTCATTACCCTGAACTACAGTGTGTCAATTTTGATTCTATTGAAATTTCATTTTAATATATACAGTATCTGAAGTTTCACAACTTTTACATTACCTTCATGTTCCTTTGTGACGTTACAAACAGTGTATCTTACTTAGAAATGTTTCCTTCCCTCTTCTGTTGTGAAGACTTTCATGCTTTAATACTTTTAATTAAAAAATATAAGCTTTTTCTGCCTTTTTGTTAAGTCAAATTAATTTGTCATATTTCTTCAATTGAATTTATGTCTGAGTTACCATGGATGCTATGTACAAACAGGTAAAAGCATTTTTGTTAAATGAGGTTACAGATAAAAGAGATTGATATCTGAAGTTCCAGAACTTTGTGACAGATTGCAGAGAAGTCATATGAATTGAAATGTTTACATACGGAAAATTTCAGAATTGATAGTGAACCCCTTGTCCTTCAGAATAATTTGAGTAATTACAAGCTGTATTACATTGACACTTTTCTTTATTGGTATTTGTTTGTTTCTTGTTTTACTGTTAACTTTATATTATGTTAGATTTGAGGCTTTCACGGCGGTGACTATGAAGAAAGCAGTCTTCTGGGATTTTGCACCGTGTATATGTGGTGCTAACCGACGTTTCGGAGGAACGTATCGCCTCCATCTTCAGGGTAGAAGAAAATATATATAAAAAATCTGCAAGCAAAGAGACCGTGAGAACCGGTAGAACCCTGAAGATGGAGGCGATACGTTCCTCCGAAACGTCGGTTAGCACCACATATACACGGTGCAAAATCCCAGAAGACTGCTTTCTTCAATTTTATATTAATTTTGAAAAATGGTTGTTAACAGATGAAGCTTTAATTACATTAGCTTAGTAGGATTTTCATTGTGATGAAATTCTGTGTATCTCATCTCTGTCATCTGTCTTAATTTCTTGGTAATACATATTGTTTATATAATCTCAGCTTCTGTGGTCATACGAAAGTGAATAAGCTGGACATTGTACAAACAAACAGCAGGATGAAGAGTTGCTGTCTTCTGGGTTGTGACCCCACATACTGCAGTGGGGAGGTTCTGATGGTGGCCCTTAAAGTGTAGGAGCAGAAAACATGAGAAAACAGATAGAAAGAAATGTTTCAGGGAGGATATGCAATAGGGAAGTTTAAATGGTGGATGGTTTTGGGAGTAATATCAATGTAACAAGCAGAATTGTTCCATGGAAAAAATGTTTTCTTGTCTTTCCCAAAGTTTGGCCCTGCCCTTTTATGGACTGCCATCTTTCTTCCTTTAGCTGACTTACAGTACTTATCCGTTTACCCCTTCCCTTATATCTGTTCCCGCATATCCCTGCTTAGCATTCTCTTGTACCCTCAGGATGGCAGCAGCAGGTTCCTGCACCACACTAATCACTTTCTACCAGACTACATGGCATCACATCACAGAGGACAGTAATTTTCATATTCAGTGCCATGAGAACTGAAAATCTCATGGAGAGCTATATATGACTTCTTCCTATAGTTTGAAAGTTTGAACCAGAATGGTTGGAGAGGAGCAGAGGATTATAACCTCACAAAGCATATCGTATGTACAGTGTACTTTGCAAGAACCAGTCTTGCCTCATTCCAGCTTTTGTTGAACATTGTGTTGCTGATTTGGGCATTTAAAGTTCTCGTATTTGGATTGCTGTAAATAACTTGTATATTACCAAAAAAAAAAAAAGAATAGTGAGATGTAAGTGGCATGAGACTTAAAGGTAATGGAATTTTATTGTAACTGTGGAGAAGTTTCTAATTTATCAAAATGTGCTGAGTGAATATTAACCCTGGATACACCAGCTTTAATCCCTACAGTGTCCAGCTGCTGTTTTAGATTGTCAGCACTTCTTGTCTTTCACGGATAAATGAATGTAAAAGTCCTCAAGAAATTGAGGCGTAAGGAAAAATAACTCCTGTCACATTTTCTTTCGGTCTTGGATAATTCAGGCAAAATGTGAACAGGTGTCACATGCTGTGAAGTATAGCAGTTTATGTGAAGGTCAAGGTTTTCGGCATATGTAAAGTTAATAATGTTCATTCTGAGCGGAATTACATTCTTCAGATGCTTGTGTGTCTGTCAGTAATGCATTCATAACATATGATTTTGTACTGTAATTTAGAAATGGGTTTTTGATCATGAGTAGGTGCTTGAAGGGCTTTAACTTCTTTCAGAGCTCTTACTTGTGTTGTGAACTTCCAGGTGTATTAATTCTTGAAAATGATTTCATGATACTTGCTCGTAAATGTTCAGAATAGACCATTGTTATGGCAGGATCTGTTATATAGCTGAGAAAAGATATTTTAGACTGGTGGAGGTTTAACTGTTAATATGATGTCTGTTCTCTATGAAAACTACCTGAATTAAGAAAGATAAAATATCTGTTAAGTAGTTGAAAACTTTGTCTGTGTCCACAGATTGTGTTCAGAAGAGTTTTTCGATTAAAGTGTAGTGTTTGAGGAACAGCTTATGTGTACATGTAATCTGATAAGTGTGCTATAAACCAACAAACATGGGTACATTTAAAGAGTTGTATAATATGGCACATCATTTATTTAAGGTCCTTCATTTAGGAAATGTTGAGCACAGTTCAATTTCAAATCTTGCCCAATCTTCTTTCGGTGAAATTGTGATTTGCTTTCCTCACATTCAGTGAATAATTTTTCTGGCTCCAACCAAAGCTAAATATAAGCAATGTATTATTCCCATATTTAGTGAAATGTAAGCACCTGTTCTTCACCCTGCATATGGTTGTTTTTTGTGGCAGTACCACAGCATATAATAATTACAACTTTAAATAAAGCTCAGATTAAGAAATTAATGATGTGACACCTATATAGTTTGGTATGTGAGTTTACTAAATTAGATGATGCCACATCCCAGAAGAAAATAATCTTAATAGACACCACCACGAGAACCTCAAATTTCGCAAATGATTTGAACTGCATCCAAAAATTCTTCCACAGTCAGTAAGTTCGTGGAATGGATGCAAAGCATCATACGGGAATTTACTGCCAATATGTTTCAGCAGTGTTTTTGACAGCTATAACAACGTTGGTAGACTTGCATAGCGGCCAACGGCAACTATTTTGAGGACCAATGAGGATCTGCATAAGTGTATGTGAATACCTTGTACTATGATGCGATAAAACCACATTCCACGAACTTAATCACTCTACCCAGTATTACCATGAGTGTGTAGGAGTGAATTTCATGTCTGTGGGTGTTCTCTGATACGTTTTTGATAGGACACAGGAGAGAGAAAGAAATAAATGAGTTACATTTTCGTTTATATACTAATCTAACACCCAGTGAGAATTCAACAGTAACTCCCATCCTTTGTCATATATGCTGTCATACTATTATTTTCTCATATATTCCTTTCCAGGCCTACGTGCTATCAAATGTTGTACCAAGGCCAGTGTTTAATGCTATCTGCCACAGATAACACGCACAAGTAGCCATTGGTAAACTATCTTGTTTATGTAGTTACTATAGGATTCTGATGATGGTGTATAACACACAGAGATATATTTAGGTCCAGTGATTGAGTGAGATTCTAAGGGACCCAACAGAATAGGTGTTTTACCTCACATGAGGACGGAAACAGATCCAGTTTCCCAAACCTCGTGTTTTTTCTTAGTTATCTTAAGAACTAGGACAATGGATAAATTTTGAAAACCCAATATCTCTGTGTATCTTGTTTATATAGTATTCTACACTTCACATATCCTCATCAAAGTATTATCAGTACCCAGAGATTGGATAGACACTAAACACTGAAACAGAACACTGCATGCTCCTTGGTGACCTACTAAGTAATTCATGTTCATGCAGTGTTTTAATGCTTGACAGTTCATTGCTATGATAACTAAATTTCTTGTCTTTATTATATTATTTTTTACATATGGAGAAGGATTATGCTAAATATGATGTTGTTATGGTAATGACTTTGAAGAGTTCTGCCTTTGGGATGTAATGCTGTGTAGTCTGGTGAAAATCACCCAGTGTTTTACAGGAATATAGCACCTCCATCTTAAAGGTCAAAGAAAAAGCCAAGTAAGAAACCAGCATGAAGCAGTCAGTTAACTTTCACTGGACTACATAGTTGTTATGTCCCAGAAGACAGAAATCTTCCAAGAAGGATGAGATTGTCATTGTTTGATAGTCTTTATGCAATAATGGAATGCACAAAAGTTCAATTTAAGTATGTTATTAACACTGCTGCTTGGCAGATGAATAAAACATGTTGTAGGTATTACGAAAAACAATTTACACGTACGTTGACATAAAGGAAAATTGTTTCTTTTAATGAACAGTTTATCTTAAATTTAACACTGTTCACTTCTTTTTTTCATAGTTTCATTGACTTACAAGACATTTATGTGATTGTCGGTGACTTGTTAATGCAATATTTATATTTATCTGTGCAGAAGACTTACGTTTAGGATTTGAGGTTCTCCCAGTGGTGATTATGGAAAGGTCTGTCCTCTAAAATATAATGCCATGCAGTCCACGGAAAATTGACCATTTTTTTCTGAGGAACATACCGCCATCATCAGGGATGAAGCTGTCTGCTTCATGCTGGTTTCTTGCTTCACTTATTCATCCCTGAAGATGGAGGCGACGTGCTCCTCCAAAATGTTGATTGACTTTTGATGGACTACATCGGATTGTATCCCAGAAGATAAAACTCTTCAGACTTACTGTTTAATTGACAGTATCTATTGAATACCATCTGCTTGT